AACTTATCAACATATCGGATTATTAATTAGTTATCGAGATATGTTCAATTATGTATCAAAGTCCATCAAACAGTCCATAACTCCCAGATCTGAATAGACCAGAAAACAATTTTTCCATTTTTGTACTCAGAAAAACAATGACTATCATTTCACGATTATACCCTTAATCATAATTTTAATGTTCAACTTTAAACAATTAATTCAACTCCATAACTTTACAGCTAAAATTTCTTTAAGTGTAGATTAAAAAATACAACCCTGCTTTTCCATTGTATGAGTAATACAACAGCTGAGAATAAGAAAAAAACAAACAAAGAGCAATTGGGAAAATATAAAACGACAACGAATAAGTTGCATGCCAAACGAAAAAGTAACAAAATAAACAAATTCGTGGCAAATGTTTTTAAACAAATATTTAATATAGTTAAAATAAAGTTTATAAGAAATAAAATGGCAAATCTAAAGGATGATTTAGATCAATATTTATTGCTACAAAGTGATCAAAGAAAAAATTCAATGTAAAAGTGCCACAACTTAAGGTACCAGAATTTGGTAATATTTTCAGCAGAAACACAGAACCAGAAGCCAATAGTTGGTTAAAAGAAACACAGGACTCCTGCTGTCCTAAATTGGTAATTACTATTGTAAAATTAACATACATATTTGTAATGCTAAATGATTGCTTTGTAATTTTTAGTCGCGCTTACAACGCATAGTGGGCTTTGTGGCCTGTCTGGGCATGGGCACCTTATGCATGACCATCTCCATGTTTTACATACCATTATTGCTGTTGAAGACCAGAAAATTCTCCTTACTCTACACCATGGGCAGTTTATTTTTCATTCTAAGTTTTTGTTTTCTCTCCGGTTTTATGGCTTTCTTTAGGACTCTGTTCACTAAAGAAAGAGCCCTGGTATCGTCGGCCTATTTCAGCTGCTTATTTGCCACCTTGTATTGTGCTTTATGGGCGCAAAGTACTGCCTTAACTGTTTTATTTGCTCTATTACAAATGATTGCTTTAGCTTTTATGGTCATTAGCACAGTACCGGGCGGTTCGTCGGGTATAAAACTGTTTGGTTCCTTATTCAAGAGTAGTGTAAGTTCGTCGGGTTCGAGTGCTTTGCCAGTTTAGGTTTGCTACTGCCGCTGCCACTCTACTGGTGGACTCTTAATATATTTAAATATCATATGATTAATATTGATATCTCCTCTCTCGATGATTGTAAATATAGTGTAGGTGTACGTTCATTTTTTTCCACTGTAGCTGTAGTATGTAATGGATGTATTTGACTTGGAATATATTCGAAATAAAATAATATATATTTTTTCTAACTACATAATAGATATATTATGAAGATGATTTTTTTAAGGGATTGAAGGTCCTTATGGGGGTTCTGAAATGTTTGCAATTTCCTAAGATGCCTTTATACACGAATCTAGGTGCTAATGGATCAAGGTTCGATATTGTGATCACGATTTGAGGGGAACTACCTTAATTGAACTACTATGACCTACGGTTACTTACGGTACCACGGACGGACGGACGGACGGACGGACCGACGGACGGACGGACGGACGGACGACGACGGACGGACGGACGGACGGACGGACGGACGGACGGACGGACGGACGGACGGACGGACGACGAGGACGGACGGACGGACGGACGGACGGACGGAACGGACGACGGACGGACTGACGGACGGACGGACGGACGACGGACGGACGGACGGACGGACGGACGGACGACGACGACGGACGGACGGACGGACGGACGGACGGACGGACGACGGACGGACGGACGGACGGACGGACGACGGAGGACGGAGGAGAGGACGGACGGACGGACGACGGACGACGGACGGACGGACGGACGGACGGACGGACGGACGGACGGAGACGGACGGACGGACGGACGGAAGGACGACGGACGGACGGACGGGACGGACGGACGGACGGACGACGGACGACGGACGACGGACGGACGGACGGACGGACGGACGGACGGACGGACGACGGACGGACGGACGACGGACGGACGGACGGACGGACGGAGGACGGATGACGGACAGGACGGACGGACGGACGGACGGACGACGGACGGACGGACGGACGGACGGACGGACGGACGGACGGACGGACGGACGGACGGACGGACGGACGGACGGGCGGGGACGACGGACGGACGGACGGACGGACGGAGACGGACGGACGGACGGACGGACGGAGGACGGAGGACGGACGACGGACGGAAGGACGGACGGACGGACGGACGGACGGACGGACGGACGGACGGACGGACGGACGGAGGACGGACGGACGGACGGACGGACGACGGACGGACGGACGGACGGAAGACGACGGCAGGCGGCAGGCCGGCCGCGGCGGCCTCCATTCCGGCTTCCTTCATTCCTTTTCCCCTTCCTGTCCTTCCTCCTTCCTTCCTCCTTTCCTTCCGTCCTTCCTTCCTTCCTTCCTTGACCTTCCTTCCTTACGTCCTTCCTTACTTCCTCCTTCCTTACTTCCTTCCTTCCTTATTCCTTACTTCCTTCCTTCCTTAATTCCTTCCTTACTTTCCATATTTCTTATTCACTCATCACTTGCCTACCCTTTGGTGAATACAAAACTCTCCTTTCAAACAACTCTGCTTTTTTTAAGTTATGATTGCTACATGAATCACCCTGTTAAACTGTCACTTTCTCCTATTGTATTCAAAGCAACTCTGTTATTTGTTTTCTTTTTGTTGCTGTAATTTTAACTACAGGCAACGCGTTTCACTTTATAAATTAGATTTTTGCTAAAATTTTAAAGGAATAATTAAATAATTTAAAAATAAAACATGGCTAAGAGACCAAGTAACAGTTTAGTGCTAATGCAAGACCCGAAAAAGTCTAAACAAGACTTAATAGCCTATACAAATCGTGATAAGGCTTTAATGGAAGCAGTGAGTAAAAATCTATTTCCTAAAAAATAACAAATTATTAAAAAAATATTTATATTTAGGGAGTTAGAAGAACCTCCAACTTATTGGCTCCTATTATGCTATTGGAAGGTCATCAGGGTGAAATATTTTGTACCGAGTTTCATCCGGATGGTGAAATGTTGCTATCCTCTGGATTCGACCGGCAGATATGTAAGTAAATTTGCACCTTAAAACAATTTTTTATTTAAATTTCTTAAATTCTAGACATTTGGAATGTTTATGGTGACTGTGAAAATATTTTGGCCATGTCCGGTCATACGGGTGCTGTTTTAGAGGCTCATTTTAATACAGAAGGTTCGCAAATTTTCACTTGTTCCACAGATAAAACTTTGGCCGTATGGGATATAGTAACCGGCAATCGCATTAGACGTTTAAAGGGTCATAATAATTTCGTTAATTCTGTGCATGGTACTCGTCGTGGGCTACAAATGTTATGTTCTGGTTCTGATGATCGCACTATACGTATATGGGATGCACGCAAAAAGCTGTCCGTACACACACTAGAAGCACCCTATCAAGTTACAGCAGTGACCTTTAACGATACGGCCGAACAAGTTATATCAGGCGGTATTGATAATGAATTGAAGGTATGGGATATAAGAAAACAGCAAGTGCTGCACAGTTTAAAGGGTCATACGGATACTATTACCGGCATTTCTCTATCACCCGATGGTTCCTATATCTTATCGAATTCTATGGATAATACTTTACGCATTTGGGATATACGCCCCTATGTGCCGGGTGAGCGTTGTGTTAAGATATTCCAGGGCCATCAACATAATTTTGAGAAAAATCTTTTACGTTGTGCCTGGTCACCGGATGGTAGTAAAATATCGGCCGGTTCAGCTGATCGCTATGTCTACATTTGGGATACTACAAGTCGTAAGATATTGTATAAGTTGCCGGGCCATAATGGCAGTGTCAATGATGTAGATTTTAGTGGCAAAGAACCACTGATTGTATCAGGGTCTAGTGATAAGAATTTGTACTTGGGAGAAATTGAAGATTAGAATAAAAAAAAGGATGTAGAAAATATATAAAACTTCTATTTGTATTATTCCTGGTCGATATCGAATATCATAATCTTAAATGGTAAATTTAATTCTAGTCGTTTACATAATCTGCAGCTTTATAACCAATACAAAAGGTAAGAAGTTTAATTGGTTATTAACCGGCGTTAACTCCGGAACCACTTAAGTTAAACTAGTCAGAACACTCAGTTTAAAGCAAGTTTTTCTCAACATTTTTACTAACTTTCAACATATTTGGCAAAAAAATACCTAGATATCAGTGATGTAGCTATAAATAATAAGTTGTACTTACAAACTTTTTACTCTATGGCGAATCTCCGTCTGCAGCAGCCCATTTTTCTATATTTCTTTTACACAAATTAAAGACCTGCATAATACAACAAAATTGCGACAATTTGTTAAAAAATATCGTGTACACCCGGAATTTTTTAGCAAATCGCCGCATTGTTGTCTTGTGCAGGCCTTTAACACAAATTCACATAATTTCTTTTCTTTACAATAAACACAACACTTTTTAACTAATTTCTTTAATTTTACAACATTTTTCTTTTGATTTTTTGAAAAAGAACATTAACTTCACAAATCCTTGCAGCAAGTGCAGAAAAGCTTTTTTTCTAAACAAATGGCGGTTCTTTTGTTTATGTTTTTTTTTGCTTGCAATAATAGAGTTGCCAGTAAAAAAATAAAAATGTAACGGCATGTAATTGTTTGCTTTAAAAAAAGTTGCCAGATGCAAATTTGAAAAGGAAGTACCAAATAATAGCAGATGTATGATATTTTCAGATGTGGGAGTTTAAATAAAAAGGAAATTAAAGTAAATTTATAAATAAACGTGAAAATCCTGTGTGTTATGGATTGGGGAACTCATTTACGAATCTAAATTTTTTTTTTGTTTTTTTGTTTGCTCTGTTATAATTAATTAGTTATAAAACTGTACATATTAAGTTAAAAACCGGGAACGGCTTACACGATTTTAAAAATATTGTTATGGTATCAAGGTCGTGGATTTATTAACCCATTGTGTGCCTAAAGCTAAGAAAGTGTTTTGAAACACGTTTTTTTTTGCAAAAGTATTAGGGTTTTCTCGATTTTTTCTGTTTTACTATTCAGTCGAATTTTTCCAAAAAATGTTGGATCCAAGGATTATTTTCTTAATTTTTTTATACATTACAGAATTATAGTCATAATCTTTTAAAATGTTAAAAATTAGCAACGTCCATGTTTTATTAAATGTCAAATATTCGAAAAATGCTTTTTTACCACATAACTCGACAAATGACACAGAAAATCGATTTGGATGAAATTTACCAAGGTTAGTACTACATATTGGATATTAGCTCTATCGGTCAAGAACTGGCGGAATTAGAGGGGATCAAAGTTGGACATTTTGGTCATACAGGGTTTTTTCAAATTAGCGTAACTTTTTACCTATTGATCCTAGCAAAAATTGTCCAAGGTAGTTTAGATAGCTATTTCTTTACTGTTTCCAATTTTGTTTTTAATATTTTTTTTAAATGGGATTTTTTTTGCAAATGTTATTACGAATCCTCGGATAAAACTAACTACTTTTTCAGTCCCTCAAGTACAATTTCATAAAATTTTTCTTTTTTATAACGAACTTTAAAATTATGTGTTGAAATCATAAGAAAGTATTAAGCTTCGTTTGAAAAAAGATCTAAATTTGTTAAACAAATATATGAACAAATAACATCACTGGTGTTTTTTTGTAAACAATATTAAATTAATTTTTAATTCATTCTTTTAATTTAGTAAAATGCCACATTACTTTTAGAACTACAAAATCTTCATCCGTCTTATTACTATATTCTATTGAAAACTTTTTTAAAATCAGATTGGAAAATTAATAAAAAGTATGATTTTTATAAAGTCTTCCATAAAAAAGATAATTCGTGTATAGATTTTTAAGTTCTGTTCTGGATATGACCCTCTGTCTTATTATTGAAAGCTCAATAAGTTCCAAATGGGAGGTTCTAGGGAGATGTAATTTAAAACAAATTTTCTCTATTAACTAGACTTGTTTAGTATTAAAAATGAGCAATATTGGATCAAAAAAACAGAAAAACATTATTCCGTCTGTCCGACTTTTAGATTTATTGAAAACAAATAGCTAGGAATGAAATTTTCTACAAATTGTCTTAACC